TGTTCTTAGACTTCAGAACCTTTTCGACAAAAGGCACCGGAAGCATCTCTAGGCTGACAACTGGCAGCCTTAAACTGAGCGACCCAGAGAGGCTCACAGGGGGACAGACGAGGAAGGCTACAGGCACAGAGATCTCTAAACGGACACCACCGCTTTCACAGCAAAGAATATTGGCATCCCATAGTTCCACACAGACCAAATTACGATGCTTGTGTGGGTGGGGGGACACTTTTCTCCCGGGACCCCCCTAAATACCTCTTTGTCGTTATCTTGAAAGGTTACAGGAACAGCTGCACTTGTCAGCTAAAACAGTATGTTACATGCAGGGGGTGAGGTGATAATTTGGGTATACTCCACATGTCAGTCACACTAGAACACTGGGATGGAGATATTATATATATACAGTGGTACCTCGGGTTAAGTACTTAATTCATTCCAGAGGTCCTTTCTTAACCTGAAACTGTTCTTAACCTGAAGCACCACATTAGCTAATGGGGCCTCCTGCTGCCGCTGCACGATTTCTGTTTTCATCCTGAAGCAAAGTTCTTAACCCGAGGTACTATTCCTGGGTTAGTGGAGTCTGTAACCTGAAGCATATGTAACCTGAAGCGTATGTAACCCGAGGTACCACTGTATATATGTCTCTGTGTATAACATATATTCTACATGCACTATATATAAATACTACATTATATATACACATACATATACTTTCTATAAATACATACACACACAAACACACACAAAATATCTGTAGGGCCACAGATTCTCCATTGTGTATATACACACACACACACACATCTTTGTTTCATTTAACAAAACTGGTATGCTGTTTGTACATCTAGAACCTCTAAGCAGTCTTTTAAAATCAAGCATTCAGATTGTCAATAAAATACAAAGTTAATAACTGGTCTTTTAATAAAGAAAATACCAATAGAATAAACTAAAATACATATTTGGATAGAGTTGCCAGTACAGTAACGTTTTTAGCAGCCCCTGAAAAGTAACACACACACACACACACACACACACATTGAATACCTGTGACCCTTCAGCTGTGGTGGACTCCATCTCCCATTATCTCTGACCATTGGCCAAACTTGCTGTGGTTGCTGGGAAATGTAGTCCCACAACAAATGAAGTGCCACAGGTTCGCCATCATCCATCCACCCATCCATCCATCCCAGATGGGCGGATGGATAGATAGATAGATAGATAGATAGATAGCTAACAGGAGATATAAATGCGGAGACAAATACAATACACTGCCAGGGTTTCTAAGTGCCTTCCATGCATTATATTTACTGGAATAACTCTGCTATCCAGAAACCCTTTAGCCATCCTACACTTGCAAAATGTACTTTATTAATCTAATAATGGGGCCAGAGAGAGCCCGTTTAAGTCACAATTTTTAACACAACAAGGTGAGTTGGTCCCCCATTCTGAGATGGAACTGACCCTCGCAAGGGAGCTGAGCCCCAGAGAAGGACAGTGTGAGCAATGCACACTAGCAAGATTTTAACCGGGTGTCTCCCAAAGGTGCCATCAAGACAGTGATTATTCAGAGACAGGGACCAGAAACGGGGCGGGCAGTTGGAGTGCAAGGTGAGTTGAAAGCTGCCTGTGTAAAGAGGCAATAGAGTGGTACTGCTTCTGCTGGCACAGCCAGGACGATAACTGTTCAGGGGCTGGGAGGAGAAACCAGGTGGAGGGTCCATGTGCACGTTGAGTTAAAAGCTCCTTGTTTTTTAAAACAGCAACAGGATGGTAATGTTGTTGCTGTTTCCAAACTTCGCCCACATCCTGAGCACTGGGGAAGGGGGTCCTCTCAACAAATGCTGGCCCTACTAATAAGCAGACCCACACACGGGCTGACGTTTCCCAGGCAGCTCTGGTTGCCAGAACCCAGCGGCGCTCTGAAAGGCTGGCCTGCGAGAAGTTCAAGTATGCCGTAAAGCAGAAAACCAGCCTCCCTCTCTCGACCTCTTTTTTTCTGAGGAGCTGGGCAAGGAGAGGGACGCCTCCTGGAAAGGAGAACAGCCTGGCGCAGAGAACTCCAAAGGCCCCCGTCTGACAACCGAGGATTGATGGATTGCCTGCCGCGGAAAAAACCCTCCCCCTCTTCCTTGCCCTCGCTCATTTCCCTTTGGTGCGCAGCAGAAAGAGATAGATAGCGCCTGTGTCTCTCTGTGTGTCTCTCTCTCTCTCTCTCCTCGTCCTGCTTGCTTCTGGAAGAGGCCGAGCCAGATGGAAAGCAAAATAAATCGGAGGCAGGAGGATTTTAATGATGATCATTTACAGGAGAATTGGAGGGTCCCCCCTCCCTCCGCCTCAAGTAGAGGGGAAAGGCTGGCCATCACTCCCTGACAGGGGAGGGAGACCAGCTAAGTGGCAGAGACCAGCTCTGCATGCAAAAAGCTCTCCTGTGATGTGATAGCCGTCTTGAAATATCAAGAGGGCTGCCACAAGGAAGATGGAGCAAGCTGGTTTTTGGCTGCCCTGCAGGGGCCAAACCAGCAGATTCATATGGCAAAAAAAGGGAGATTCCGACGAAACATCAGGAATAACTTTCTGAGGGCAAAGGCTTGTTTGGCTGCAGAACCGACCACCTCAGAAGATGGCGGACTCCCTTCGTTGAAAGTTTTAAGCAAAGGTTGAGTGGCCATTTGACAGGAATTGGGGGTCTCTCTGCAGTTCTATGTTCAATCAGCGGCGCCTCCAGTTAAAAGAGGGCTGGGAAAGACACCCCTCACCGCCTAAGCCCTGGAGGCCGCGGTTGGCTATGGCTCCCTCAGACCGCTACAATTCCCAGAGTTCCCTGGGGATTGACTACTATGGGAACTGCAGCTCTGTGAGGGGAGTCAGGTTTCCAAGAAACTCTCAGCACCCTTAGCAAACTACACTTCCCAGGATTCTTTGGGGGTAGGACATAGGACTGTTTAAAGTGGCATGTTACTGCTTTAAATCATACCCTGTAGTGTCCCATTTTGGGTGCTGTGGTCTTGCTCCCCCCGCCCCCCCAAAGTGTGTCTTTTGAGCTCCGTGGTCTTGCATGGGCCATGTGACTCGTGCAGGACCATGGATGGGAAGACGCATGTCCCGGTTTTGGGACCCAACATGTTGGAGGTATGTTTTAAATCCATAGCGCAGATGGGGGCCTTATACCAAGCCTATATTGTCCACACGGACTGGCAGAGGCTCTCCAGGACAAGCAACATTCTCAGCCCTAACTGGCCAAACCAGGGATCAAACCTGTGGCCTTCTGGGTGCACTCAGCTACAGCTTTTCCTAAAGGGAGGCTATTAGATTTTAAGTGACAATGGTTCCAATATTTCGAAAAGGCACCTGCATGTAAATTCAATCAATGGATTGCTTTGGAGGCTGATGGTGCAGGGCTATTTCACAGGGATGACTTTTCCTGGGGGTGGGGAGGACAGGTTACTGGGAAGGAAAGCAAGGAGACCCCTTGAGTGGGTCTTTCACCCCCCTGATGTGGCCTCCTTCATCAAAACAGCTGGCTTGGAGCAAGCCCCTTGTCCTCCTACGGAACGGCCAGCTCTGTCAATACACTCTGCATGGATCAGGTCCCACCACATCCTGGGATCTCCGGATGAAAGGAGCCAAGCCCTATTCTTATTCAGTGCAGCGGTGCCTGAAATTAAACCCCTCTCTACCACTGTATGTTCTCCTGATACCTTGTAATGGAATGGGGGCGGGAGAATCAATCACATACGGCCTGTACCTTCATTGTCATTGTCAATACGCATTCATCTAAAGGGGCGGTAAAAGGCCGGATCACCCGCTCAGTCCTTTCTCGCTAGAAACCCGTTCCTCTTTTCTTAGCCTGGCATGCAATGATCAGAGCCAACACTTGGCCAGGGGCACCATCTTCTAGGGGCTGAGCTCTTTCACCCCCCCCCCATATTTTGGGGGTAAAGGTAAAGGGACCCCTGACCATTAGGTCCAGTTGTGGCCGACTCTGGGGTTGCGGCGCTCAGCTTGCTTTATTGGCCGAGGGAGCCAGCATGCAGCTTCCGGGTCATGTGGCCAGCATGACTAAGCCGCTTCTGGCAAACCAGAGCAACGCATGGAAACGCCGTTTACCTTCCCGCCAGAGCGGTACCTATTTATGTACTTGCACTTTGACGTGCTTTGGAACTGCTAGGTTGGCAGGAGCAAGGACTGAGCAACGGAAGCTCACCCCGCCGTGGGGATTCGAACAGCTGACCTTCCGATCGGCAAGCCCTAGGCTCTGTGGTTTAACCCACAGCGCCACCTGCGTCCCATATTTTGGGAGAGGGCCCTCCAATGTTCAAAAACAGCAGAGGAGGCTGAGTGCAGAGCCAAGAGGGTCTTGACTTCAGTGGCCGGCTCCATCTCCTCCTGCTACGAAGGGGAAGGAGTGGGGAAGCAGCCCCTGGTCGGTGGTGGCAGCTGGTGGAGGAGAAATCCCTGACCATAAGCTGGTACCTCTGTACCCTGCGTCTTATGGGCCCAGTACAGTGGCACGGCTCATTGCTTGTATCTCTCCCCTTCTCTCCAGGGTTAAAAACTCAGATATATAAGCTAGGCGCCAAATGCCACCTTAAACTTGGGTTATGGTCACCACAACGGAATGATTGTTCCTTCCAACAGATTCTATGATGCTACGTTCTCAACTACATTGCTTGACTGTAGCTTGCTCTTACAACAGTATGCTTGTCCCAGTATACAAGAAGGAGGAACACACAAAAGGAAAATGGAAATGGTATTAACTATGGACTAAGGAAGAGGTTTTAAGATGGTGGTCATCAAACTGGCACCTAGAAATATCCACGAAGTTGCAATAGGACCCGCACTAGTAGCAAAATGCATCTGGCTAGTTTCAAACAATGCTCCTCTCACCCCCCTGCACTTAACCTGGCATCCCAAGTGTCTGGATTCAACCCTTATTTCATAGGATCGCAGAGTTGGAGAGGACCCTGAGAATCATCTCGTCCAACCCCTGCAAAGCAGGAATATGCAGCTGCCCCATACGGGAACTGAACCTGCAACCTTGGCGTTGTCAGCACAATGTTCTAGCCAATTGAGCTATCTTGCAATGTTCCCACAACCTCCATGAAAGGAATTGTCCTATTCAGGGTAATTAATGAACTTAAATCAGCTGTGACCATTAACTTCAATGGTTCTGCTCTGAGAAGGCCTTAGCAGAGCATGCACACCCCTTTTTATAAACTGCTTTCAAATGTTTTATTATAATATTAAGCGGACTATAGCTTGAGCAAATCAATAAATAATGTAGCTTGACTCACTTGCATGAGTGATCTCACCAAAGGATTCTGGGGCAGTCCCTTGCTTTTTGCATCTAACCCCCCCCCCGCCCCTTCTTATTTAAGGGGACCAATGGATGGTGCCTTATCCAACCTAATCCTCAAAGTCCTGATGCCAGCGCTGCCTGCAAAAGATGGCTAAGGGTCTTCTTGGCCAAGTTTTAATTACAGCTGCGGAACAGCAGGCGAGGGGAGGGGAGGGACAGGGAGACGGTCTCAACTTGGAAAGGTCACAGCTAGAGCTCGGCATAAAAACAACACAAATGCCCAGACACAGGCAGTCCAAGGCAAACCCATTTCTGCAATTTGTAGAAAGGAGGCAAACACGATACATTTCCATTGTTGCATATTTCACATAGTTCATTCCGGTTTTGCCCCTCACAAAGAGGGGAAAAGGTGCTGGAGTTGCTCTTGTCAAGCAATCTTTTCCAGGCCTTACTCAAGGCTTCAGTCGGTTTTGCCCACGTATCTTCCCAGCCATCCATGTGGGCTAGAAACTTGTGCTTTAAAAAAGGAGGAGAAGGAGAATAAGGAGGAGGAGGAGGAAGAAGAAGAAGACGAAGAGGAGGAGGAGGGCTGTGGTTCTCAGGAAGGTAGAAGATCTCTGTATCCAGGACCATAATTGCTTTTTTTTGCACTGACACATTCTCAGCATCCACACAAGCCTGCTGCACTTTACAGGACAAGCAAAATCTGACCAGCCACCCTGCATTGCAACCAGAAGACAGAGTGGAAGAAAGAAATTCTCAGAAGCGGTCTTCTCCTTTACAAACCAGTTGTTCATGAAAAGTGGCTTCAGAGGTCCTGCTCTCTCCATTGCTCACACAAGAGACGGGGCCTTTTCAGTGGTGGCACCATAAACATGGAACTTCCTCCAGATGCAAATAGGAATACAGGGAGCTGCTTTACATCAAAGTCAGCAGCACACCTAGCTCGATACTGTCTTCACTAACTGGCCACGGGTTTCGGGGAGGGAACATTTCCAACCCTTCCTGGAGATGCCAGGGATTAAACCTGGCACCTTTGGCATGCAAGGCATGTGCTACACTACTCAGGTATAGCCCTTCCTTTAAGTAAGATGCTAGTCCTCATGGTCCTGAATGAAGAGTTGCTTTTAAACAGCTGCCTTTTACCACAGCAGTCCATCTAGCTCAGTATCGTCTACTCTGACTGGCAGCAGCTCTCCATAGTGCCAAGCAAGGGCCTTCCCTACCCCATACCTGGACATGCTGACGGGGGTGTAATCTGAGGCCCTCCGCATGCGTACCCTGCAAGTGTCCCGAAAAAACTGAGACATCCCTTTTTTCTCGCGAGAGAACAGCGGCCATTTTGGCTGCTGCGATCTCGCACAATTGTGTGACACCATTTCCCGTCAGAAAACACGGGGGGCACAATCTCGCATGCCACTCCAAAATGCATGTTTTGGGGCGCTGTGCCCCCCAAAATAGGGTTTTTTGGGGGGGAACTGCAGCGCGAAATCGTGCAAGATCACAGCAACTAAAATGGCCACTGTGCCATCGCGATAAAAAAACCAGGAAGATGGCGTCTGGGAAGATGGCGTCCCGGATTTTGGTTTCAAAGTCTGCTCCATGCAGACTTGATCTTTGAGCCACTTCTTAATTCTCCTGGCTTCTTCAGATCCCTTGGGAGACATACACCAAGATCAAGAAACACCCCTCTCTTCTGAAACGTAACCCTGGGGAGGGTGCTGAATCTCGAAGAACGAGAGCTCTAGCAACTCACTCTAATGAGTACAACACAGTGTTAACAAGGCCTTCTTACAAAGGCAAAAATAGAGTACAGGGCTCCGAAAATAGGGACTGTTGCTGGTAAACAGTGAGCAGTCGGAGCATCTGTTCTCGTTCTGCGGCTACCCTGCAATCCGCCAGAGCCCAGGGTGCCTCAACAACTGCCTTCTCCCGTATAAAATCATTGGGCCACAAAAGTGGAAGGGACCTCGAAAGTCATCGACTCCAATCCCTGACTCAATGCAGGTTCTGCAAGGCAAAATGCGACTGCGCTACAGCACCCCTGGCTGCCCGTCCTCTGCTACCCTATACCTCAAGCCGAGAGCTCAGCATTTCCCAAAGAGCTTTTCCTGTCGGGAGGTTTCTCTGAACGTGAGCCAAAATTCCATTTCCTGCCTTTTGCAGCCATCGGTTCCGATCCTGAATCTACAGAGAACCAATCTGCTCCGTCACCCGCACAGCAGCCCGTCGGATCTCTGAGGACAGCTTCCATAATCTTCTCTTCTCCAGGCTAAGCACACCCAGCTCTTACAACCATCCCTTGTAGGATTTGGCTTACAGAACGCTCCTCCTCTGGACGGTGCTCTGGTTTGCCAGTGTCCTTCTTAAAATGTGGTGCCTAGGACTAGGCACAGCACTCCAGATGTGGTCTGAACAGCACAGAGCAGAGTGCAGCTACCACTTCGTTTCTGAGCACAATTCAAAGTGTTGGTGCTGACCTTTAAAGCCCTAAACGGCCTCGGCCCAGTATACCTGAAGGAGCGTCTCCACCTCCATCATTCAGCCTGGACACTGAGGTCCAGCTCCAAGGGCCTTCTGGCAGTTCCCTCCCTGCGAGATTACAGGGAACCAGGCAGAGGGCTTTCTTGGTGGTGGCACCAGCCCTGTGGAACGCCACATTAGATGTCAAAGAGATAAAGAACTACACAACATTTAGAAGACACCTGAAGGCAGCCCTGTTCAGGGAAGTTTTTAATGTTTGATGTTTTATCGTGTTTTTAATATTCTGTTGGGAGCCGCCCAGAGTAGCTGGGGGAACCCAGCCAGATGGGCGGAGTATAAATAAATTGTTGTTGTTACACTCCCTTTAATGCAAGTCCAGATTGCGTTGGTTTTTTTAACCGCTACATCACACCACTGGCTCATGTTTACTGGCATTACCTGCTTCAACATTTTCCAGAGTCCTTCTCTGATCTCCCCTGCTGCCTGGGTTACGGCTAATGGTTGCCTGGGAACAGGCCACCCAAGCTGTTTTTTAAAGGTGATTCTTTTCCAGAGCACCTTTTGAGGCCTCTTGTTATGTCCGAGGTGGGGGGGATAGGGAGGGGGGCTGGAGGCGGCTTATGTTGTTTCCACTGCCTGGCTATTTATTGTGTATCTCCTTGTTTTTGTCCTTTCCCGGCTGCCTGGTTCCGATGCTATCTGTTTGGTTACGTTTTTCATCTGTGTTTGCTTCTGAATTTCAATTATTGGTTTGTGGGCTGCCTCCGTTAGACCCGCATGCCGAAAAGGCAAGGTACAAACGTTTTTAATAACACATTTCAGAGAATTGTGAAGCTACTGGATGCTGGGATTCTTCTCTGCGTCAAACTCTGCCTTATTGGAAATCAGATTTGCAAAAGAGGGGTTGGGAATTGCCCCATCTCTTCTCAGGGAATAGATACGGCAGCTATCTGGTCACACAAGGGTCTTTCCAGATGATCCTCCCAAAATAACAACCAGGTTTTAGTCTTAATGCTAAAGTGGCCTTCCCTAACTTGGTGTTGTGACCCCAGAATCCAGCAGCAATCCAGACATAGTGTTGGGGGTGTGTGCAGAGTTGCAATCTAAGGAGCCGGGACAAGGAGCAGGAATAGATTCAGGACTCTGGGCCTGCTGCTGAGGACTAGACAGACCACCGAGACTAACAGACAGGAGACCCCCAAGAAATCTCCTGTACAACCAGACCCAGGACCCCAGGCACCTTCCCCCCAGGAACCAAATGCCTCCCGCAGGATCTCACTGATCCAGCAGAACTGGGTGTGTATCAAAAGAGAGGCTATGGAGTGGAGGACTGAGAGGCCATTGTTAAGGCAAAGCAAGCAATTTCTGGTCTGCATATGCAGAGCACACATGTTGTTGTTGTTGCCTGCCTGCCTACCTGCCTGCCTGCATCATTTCATAACGTGTCTGACCTGAAAGATCGTATCTCCCTACACAAACCTGCCCAGGTGCTACGATCCTCAGGCGATCGATCACCTTACTGTATTTATTTGTTTATTTATTATTAAATTTACATACCGCCCTTCATCAAAAGATATCAGGGTGGTTCACAAGATAAAAATATAAGGTTAAAAGCACAAATAAATTGTTAAACCAGAAACAACAAAACAATAACACCCCCTACCCCTCACACACGAACATACTTAAAAGGCTGTAGAATATTAATCAGTCAAAGGCCTAGTTGAAGAGGAACGTTTTCGCCAGGCTCCATTTATATATATATATATATATATATATATATATATATATATGGAAGGCACCAGGCGAGCCTCCCTGGAGCCAGCATTCCACAAACGGGGAGCCACTGCGCAGAAGGCCCTGTTCTTTTGTTGCCGCCCTCCGGACTTCACAGGGAGGAGGCACACGAAGAAGGGCCTCAGGTGATGAATGCAGAGTCTGGGTCGGTTTATGTGGGGAGAGGTGGTCCTTCAGGTATTGCCATTTAAGGCCTTCTCTAGGTCCCATCAACATGAGAGCCATGCTTGGTGGTGACACGAGAGGCAGCTTTTTTTTTTTTGGCTACCCCCAGATGGTGGGATTCCCTCCCAAGAGAGGCTAGACCGGTTCCCTCTCCGCGATCCTTCCGCCAGCTAGCTAGGACTCTCCCGTTCAGAGATGCCTTTGGAAACTAAGGTGCAGAGTCGCTGTCCCCCTGTCAGGGCAAACTGGGTTTCAAATGTGCTCTGGTGCCTTTGAATTATGGTTTGTTCACTAGCTTGTTTTCGTTAGATTGCATTTTTAAATTTTAAACCAGCTGCCTTAAAATCCCAATTTGGGAGAGAGCCGGGATAGAAGTACGTTAAATAACAATAATAGAGATAGCACTGTTTAAACCCCCGTACCTTTTGAGTCTTGCACACTGACCACCGGCCTGCTCCGCCCCAGACAGAAAGCCACAGTCCAGTAGGAGTGAGAGACACAGCCGTCAGTGAATGCAGATCCCACGAGGGTTACGCTCTTCAATTAGGGTCCTCATTATAAGACTAGAAAACTCCACTCTGTCGTCTGTGCACATAACACAGAAATCTCCCCCCTCCCTCTTCCCCCTTTAAAAAGAAGAAAAGGAGGAAGGGGGAGGGAAGAGGAGCTAAGATGAGGAGAGCAGTATCTTTAATGCAAGAGACGGGTCTGCTGAGATTCAGTCTTATTTTGACTTTCATCTCGAAAAGCTGCCTTGGGAATCCATTAAGCCCAATTTAAATCGACTCTCCGCCCCCACAGTCCTCTCCCCGCCTCCCCTGCCGTTCTGGACTTCTACTCCCTACGAAACAACAACAAACAACGTCATTAAAATAAATAAACAGGGAGAGCGGGTTGGCGGGGAACCCTCCCTGAGTAGGTTTTTGCTCATCAGGTATTGGGGGTCAAATGGACCCCACGTTCAGGGCAGTTTGAGGAAACAGTAACATGGGAGGTGCATTTGATGATTCCAGTTTAGGGCAAACAATATGGAACTGGGGCTTATGCTACAAGGGTGGAATCTGGAGCCTGTGATGCTCAACAGCCTCCCAGAGCTATGGACGACGAACACCATCAACATATGCAGTTACAATACGTCAGGGAAGGGCTGTAGCTCAGTGGTGGAGCATGTTTCTTGCATGCAGAAGGTCACAGGTTCGATCCTCTAGCTGCTCCAGGTAGGGCTACAAAAAGGTTTTCTTTTTTGCCAAAGCCATTGTAGCAGCCATAGCAAACTGAACTGCGCTCCTTGGGTTCAGATCCTCACTCCATGAAACTCCATTGGGTAGCCTTGGGCCTGTCTGTTTCTTGCTCTTTCAGCCTAACCTACCTGACAGGGTCGTTGTGAAGCTGAACATGGACTGACCCAGTATGCACGTACATTACCCATGAGCTCCCTGAAGTAAGAGATATCAGCAAGATTTTTAAACCTATCTAACTGCGTAATATTAAAACTGTGACATCCTGTTTTGTGGCTTGGCAGGGATTTAGCAAGAGATTTGCATCTTTTCGGCCCTAGGTCTAAAGTCAGAGGCTGTTTTGGATTTAAGTGTATGAGAAAAGGGTAGGTTCAATTTAAGGTCCAAAGGCCAGTATATCCACGATTAAATTGCAAAAGACGAAAACAAACCCACCCCTCAAACAAACCGAAAACAAACAGTGTGCTTTCAGAGCGTTTGTGGACTTTACTTTTTCCATGCCTTGCAGCACTCAGAAATTATATGCTCCCTGAAGAATAACCACATGCAATCTGAAACACAATAGCAGGAGGCAGCTATTAACCTTGATAGCAAGAGATAGAACTGCCATGTTCAGAGGCAGTCTATCTCTGAACCCCAGGGGCTGAGGTCAAAACAACCAAGAAAGGCCACTTGTGCGATGCCTGCCTTGTGGGCTTCCTGGAGGCATCTGTCTGACTGCTATTAAAAAGAGGCTGCTGCTGGGCTAAACCTGGAGCAAAGAGCCTCTTTCCCCCACCTAACTGCACACAGCTGGCCTACAAACAGCAGTCTGTCCACTACGCCAAACACTGCAGCTTTGCCTTCCTCTCCTCATTTTGAAACCTGCCCACCTGCCTCCTTTGTCACAAACCCACCATTGTGACGATTTGTGCATGCCACAAAGTTTCGTCCCGCACCTTAGCCGTGCTGCCTCCCTGAACGGTGCGTTTTCTGCGCCTTTCCATAGATGGGATTTACATTTGTGCTTTGTTTTGTTTTTTTAAAAAGGTTCAATATTTGCACGGTGAATTCCAAGCGCACTGATGCACCCATCCGCACACAGTGACACAGGTGCAACAAACCTATCTGCTCCCATCCGGGTCGCCTCGCTTTGTTGGTTTTAATAGGGTTGCTCTGGAGTGGAGGCTTTTTGTGGATCTCGGCCACCACACCTGCGCCAAACGCACACAATTGCCTGCTCTGAGTAGCTCTTCAATGGCAGAGGGTGGACGGCATCCTGCTGCTATGTCATAGGCTGGCTGGCTGGCTGGCAGTTTGGCTCTAGCCGATTCCCAGCTCTCCTCCTGCAACAATACTTCAACACCCTGCATACATTTCCAGTTTCTTCCTTTTCCTTTTCTGCAACAGCAACAGCAGCAGAAAAAGAAAAAAGGAAGGAAGATCACGGAGGCTCTTTTGTAGGCTGGCGACGCTTCCTTGAGGCTCTGGAGAGCCCATTTATTTATTAAAAAATAATAATCGTGTCAGTGGGCGGTTTGTGTCGGGAGGGGGCAAGACATTTGTCATGGGAAAAAGAGAACCCCAGGGAGACCTCGAGAAAATCTCTCTCTCTCTCTCTCTCTCTCTCTCTCTCTCTCTCTCTCTCCCAGCATGCCCCCCCCCCCCGCCCTAGGGGGATTTCCAAATGAACCATCACAGCTGTACAGTACAAATGCTAGCTACAATTTATGGTCTTCCTAGCTCAGAGGAGAGACTGATTCTCTGGGAAAAGGAACCAATGGGGAAACACATCGATCAAAGCCACGCATGGAAACACTGGTGAGAGATAATGGGATGCTGGGTCTCCATCCGACAACTTTACTGAGACCTTACGAAGGCATCATCCAAAATAACCTTCAATCTCAGCCTCTCCACCAATTTAGCATTCTTTGAACTTCCTTTTTTTTTTAAGCCACTCTCCAGAGACACCAAACATCACCCCCACCCCGCATAAGAAAAGAAACATCCCTCCCCAAAACCAAACTTCTTTTTCACGCCTGCACTTGTGCGTCCAACCAGATTTAGAAAGAACAAACGAACACACGAAAGGAAAGAAGGAAGGAAGGAATGCAGCTTGCTCGGAATTCTGCAAGGAAAATCCAGAAGCCCTTTTCAAACAATCCACTTGGAGGGGAGACAATGTACACTCACCAACTCTGCCAAAGCCGAAAGACCAACGCGGCTGTCTCTGAAGCGCTCCCCCCCCCCCATCTCCCCAAAGCACAAATGGCGTAAGCAAGAAACATAAAACCAAGGGGAGAGGGAGGGCAGGGGACAGGGGCTGGGTGGGAAAGAAGGCGAAGGGAGCTGATGAATGAGCGACCAGCGCACAGCCCCCCACCAAAGAGACATCAAAGCACCCCAAAGAAAGATCTCCTTTCGCCCTACCTGCAAGCTCTCCTCTTCTCCTCTTCCGTCTCCTCTTTGGCGCTCCCTCGCTCTTTTCCCTTGCCGTCCTCCCAGAGCAGAGTGGTCACAGATTTAGATCCTTTAGGAGGGGGGGGAAAAACGTGGGGAGAAAAATAGGTATATAGCACAATTCTTTTTTGTTGTTTTTATTTTTTTGTTTTCCCCCCTCTCTCTCTTCTTAGCAACCTCTTTGAGCTCCTTCAGTAGTCATTATTCATAGACCACTAGGGGATAGGAGGTAATTAGGAACGGCCCCGTAGCCTGCAGTTTGAAAATTTAATGCCAGGGGTAGGGATGGTGAACATGTGTGTGGAAGAGGAAGGGAGGGCGCGCACGGCTGTGTGTGTGTGTGTGTGTGTCGTGGAGGGGGGGCTGATTGGTTGGCTGCAGGCTGCTAAAAGGGTGGGGGGAGGTTGTGCTGATGGAGATGAGGGAGAGGTGGGGGAAAAGGAGGGGAGAGGATACGGAGGGAGTGGTTTCAGGGTCTCTCTCTCGGTGGCACTATAAAGACATCAGGATGTCCAAGGAGATTGAGGGACCAGCGGTGGCAGATTTCCCCCCCCCTCTCTCTCCCCCCCCTTCTTGTTTTGTGTTGTGAGTGGGTGGCAGCCTTGTCGCCGGTGTGTGATGTTTGTGATCCGTGTGTGTGCGTGCGTGTGTGTGCCAGGAATAGCAATCAGAAACAGAGGCAGCCTACGAAGCATAAAAGCGCCATCACGCAGGGTCAAGAAAAGCTACAGATTTAAAATATGAAATGGGAGAGAGAGAAGGAAACACCCTCCGCAGTAAGGAAGGGGAGGCAAAAAAGAAGTAGAGGAGGAGGAGGAATTTTTAAAAAGCAAGAGAAGGAAGGGGGGGTTGGGGGGGTTGCCCTCCATCAGTCTAATTTGGCCACAGCCATCCCTCCTCTCTGAAATGTAATCCCACGCATGCACAACAAAGCCACGGCGGTTGAATGAGCAGAGCGGTGTGAAAGCTTGAATGAGAGAGGTCTGGCTTAGGGAGGTGGGAGCTGCGTGGGAGTGTGCGTTGGGGAGGGGGGGTTGAGATGGGGGAGAGGGAGGACCAAAATGGGGGAGGGAAGAGGCCTGGGGGAGAGGGAGGCATCCTCGTCCCTCCACACCGGGAGATTCTCCTAACTGCGCGCAGCTGCAGCCCAGGCAGAGACTGACACAGCAGGCGGAGGAGGGGGGGGCTTTTTGGGGGTGGGTTGGGGGTCCCTGCGTGGTGGTTGGGGGCGGGGGAGTCATGCACGCAGCCCGCTGGCAAATGAGAGCCGAGGGCACCTGATTTCCCATGGGTGGCTGCTGGGCATCAGGAAGGACTGAACGACGGAGGTTAAAAGCATAGAGCTGGAAGGGACCCCAGGGTCATCTAGTGCGCACCCCCCCCCCCGCAATGCAGGAATCTTTGGTCCAATGTGGGGCTCGAACCCACAACCCTCAGAGTCTCATGCTCTACCGACTGATGAGGAATAGCCTTCAACCATTCTGGCCATTTCCTACCATGACCCACACAGAGCAGAGGGGGTTGCCCTCTTCACATCGTTTTTTACCCGGGGTGGGGGTGGGGGGTGGAAGTGATTCAGAGTGCAGAAACCTAGGTGCCCAGTTCCCTCTGGTGCCGTCAAAAGTGGCTGCTGCAACACATGAGCCAGAACAGGGTCCATCTGTTCACTGGCAGTGCACCCAGCTTTCCCAGCAAGCTCCCACAAAATATGTCCAGCTTCTAAACTTTTGTGCAACAATCAAAGTAATTCTTTCTGAGCCTTCGCCTTCCTGCAAAGAAACTGATGACCCCACCTTCCTGTTTCTAGTCATACAAAAAAACTGCAAGGTACCTCAAGGCAGGCTTTTCCCAACCTGACACCCTTGCCAGGCATTTTAAAGACTACAAATCCCATCAGCCACAGCCGGAACATAGGTGTTCTGTGTTGGAGAGGTGGGAGATGTAGTCCAAAAACATCCAGAGTGTACTAGGTAGGGGAAGGCTGCAATAGGGTGAGAGAAAGTGCTTGGAACATGGTCACTGAGTGAGAAGCAGGGGCGTAGGAAGGGGTGGGGGTGCGGTCCGCCCCAGGTGTCATCCCTGAGGAAGTGACAAAATGGCACACCGCGGGGGGCGGCACTTAACTGCGGGGCCTGGCCTGCAGTGTGCCCGAGCCACACTTCTCTTCTGGGAGTGACACAGTGGCTTGGGACCCTGCGCTCCCCAAAACAGCAGCACGGGGCTTGCGTCTGCCAGGCGGACTCAATGGTCAGCTCGCTGCACTGCCCCCCTGGGCAGATTCCCTCACTGCCCCCGTGCACGGATTGCCCCCCCCCCGCCCCTGCTGCTCTGGGTGCCAGAGCAGCTAGCTACACCCCTGGTGAGAAGGAATTGGAACCCGGCTCTCTCTCCAACCCTCACCAGCCCTTCTGTTTGTTTATTACATTTATTCATCACCCGTCCTCCTAAGAGCACAGGGTGCGTACAGCTCAAGATAAACAGCAAAATGTCCCAGTAAATAAGCACACATGCAAAATCACAATATTTACAAAATAACAATCACGGACCGCAAGAAGATCAAACTTATCCATTCTTAAGGAAATCAGCCCTGAGTGCTCACTGGAAGGACAGATTCTGAAGCTGAGGCTCCAATACTTTGGCCACCTCATGAGAAGACTCCTTGGAAAAGACCCTGATGTTGGGAAAGATGGAGGGGACAAGGAGAAGGGGACGGCAGAGAACGAGATGGCTGGACAGTGTTCTCGAAGCTACCAGCATGAGTTTGACCAAACTGCGGGAGGCAGTGGAAGACAGGAGTGCCTGGCGTGCTCTGGTCCATGGGGACATGAAGAGTCAGACACAACTAAACAACAAAATTTATTCATTTATTTGAGTTCTGTCCCATCCAACAGCATAAGAAGAGTGTGCTGAATCAGGCCAGTAGCCTATATAGGACAGCATCCTGTTCTCACAGTGGCCAAAGTGATGCCTGTGGGAATTGTGCAAGCAGGATTCAAGCACAAGAGCAACACTCTCTCCCCCTGTGGCTTCCAGCCACTGGCATTCAGAAGCATTTCTGCGTCCGACTGTGGAGGCAAAGCTTAGCCATCAAGACTAGTAGCCATTGATAGAATTATCCTCTGTGAGTTTTTCTTGTCCTAATTTAAAGCCATCCAAGCTGGCTTTACTCCAAGGATCTCAAGGTGGCAGCAGATTTTTTATTCTCTCTCCCCAACCCCGTGAGGTAGGCTCACCCAGCGAGCTTCATAAATTAGTGGGGATTTGAACCCTGGTTTCAGAGAACTTAGCCCAAACCTCTAGCCACTGAAACCCATCAGCTCTCAAATTCACTTTTGCATTTTAAGACGAACCTGCCTCATTTGCTGTTCCTCAACCATACATGGTCCCATGTACCCGAAGGAGCGCCTCCACCCCCATTGTTTAGCCCAGACACTGAGGTCCAGCTCCGAGGGCCTTCTGGTTGTTCCCTCACTGCAAGAAGTGAAGTTACAGGGAACCAGGCAGAGGGCCTTCTCGGTAGTGGCACCCGCCCTGTGGAATGCCCTCCCGTCAGATGTCAAGCATATAAACAGCTATCTGACTTTTAGAAGACATCTGGGAAGTTTTTTAATCTTTGATGTTTTATTGTGTTTTTGAATATTTTGCCCAGAGTGACTGGGGCAACCCACTCGGATAGGCAGCATATAAATAAAAAATTATTATTATTATCTCACAGAATGGGTCAGCTGGTTTTGGGTGGGAGTTCCTGTGGATAGTTGGGCCCTAAACCATTTTGGGCTTTATAAATCATTAGAGGGACGTGGGTGGCGCTGTGGGTAAAAGCCTCAGCGCCTAGGACTTGCCGATCACATGGTCGGCGGTTCGAATCCCCGCGGCGAGGTGCGCTCCCTTCGTTTGGTCCCAGCGCCTGCCAACCTAGCAGTTCGAAAGCACCCCGGGTGCAAGTAGATAAATAGGGACCGCCTACCAGCGGGAAGGTAAACGGCGTTCTGTGTGCTGCGCTGGCTCGCCAGATGCAGCTTGTCACGCTGGCCACGTGACCCGGAAGTGTCTGCGGACAGCGCTGGCTCCCGGCCTCTAGAGTGAGATGAGCGCACAACCCTAGAGTCTGGCAAGACTGGCCCGTACGGGCAGGGGTACCTTTACCTTTTTAAAATCATTACCAGATCCTTGAATCTCCGAGCTAGTAGTTCATGCTGCCAGTGCAGGACCTTCAGGTAACATCATAGTTGCTGCAATTCTGCCCTAGCTGCAGCTGTTTCCAGACTGTTTTCAAAGGCTGAGCGCATTGCAATCACCCATACACGTGGTCAGCAGAGCACAAGTGCCACTATAGTCACTATACCACAAGACTCTCATGATCTAATGTAATAATGATGGTTTGCTACAGCAGCAAAGCACGAGGTGCTTTTCAGAGTAACGCAAGTGAAAATGATGCAATCTGTGGGACATGAGCCTACGATCCAAAGAAACCACGGAACAAAAGCAGGGGGTGGGTGGGCTGCTGCAGGCATCCCAATTCCAGTTCCATAGGAACTGGAGATCTCAGCCACCAGATGTCTGGCACATGAGCCATGTGGGCTGAGAACATGGAAACAGGAGCAGTGTCAAGTTTCAAAACAGGAGAATAGCAAAACCATCAAGCTTAGGTACAAAAGCTCTGTTGGTTAGAACATGGTGCTGATTAACACCAAGGTTGCAGGTTCGGTCCCTATATGGGCTAGCTGCATATTCCTGCACTGCTCAGCAGTTCTCAACCTGTGGGTCCCCAGATGTTGTTGGACTACAACTCCCATCTTCCTTGAGCTCTGGCCTTGCTAGCTAGCGGTGATGGGGGTTGCAGTTCAACAACATCTGGGGACCCACAGGTTGAGAAAGGCTGGATTAGATGGTCCTCAGGTCCCTTCCTACTTTACAATTCTATGAGTCTATGAACCCAGAGTCTTCCTACTTCCCCTTGTGGTCAAAGGCAGACAATCCTGCTTCCTGCAGCAGTCGTGCGGCAGGTCGGATGCATCCCAGAGAGGTGATTGTGAGGACTGCAAAACTTGGAGTCAGCCAAATTTAGATCTCAAGGGAGAGGAAGGAAAGAGACCTAATACCTTAAGCTCACAGGTGAGGTCACTTTTCCAGCTTGCGGGGTGTATGGTGGGGTCAGGGGCCAAATACAAAAGTAAGTGTGGCTACAGGCAAAAGTAGGTGAAGCAACAAATGGAACTCTTACCTGTGCACAGCTTTCTAGCTGCTATCCAAAGGCCCTAAGTTTCTATATATCCACACATACACCTCTGCATCCCCTGTC